GTAACATCAAGAAAATCCACGTAAAAGCAACTGATCATTTTGGAAAAAAAAAATTATCTAACAACACTAATACTGAGTTAATTCTGACTCACTCTGTTCTAAAAAGAACAGAACTATTTCATAGGGTTTCCAAGGCAGTAAATCTTAGTTTACTAAGTAGATTGGTTACCTCATCTCTCTAGCAGTGGTTTCAAATCGCCATTTTTGTTAATATCTGAATACCTTAACCACAGCAGCACCAGGATGCGTGATAATAAAAGGCAATAATAATGAGGGGGAAACTAGATATTCAGCTTCCATCAGAACCAACTTATAATGAAACTGTAAACTGCACCTCATCATACCTGCTGAATGTGAGGAGGATTTGAAGCACTTGTTACAGAAGATCAAGTAATGCAGCATTCAGTATAGTGTGAATATCAATATCAAGAATACAAAGATTCTTACTACTGGACCAATAGGCAGTGTCATGATGGATAGAGAGGAGACTGAAACTGTCAACAGCTTCATCTTGCTTGGATCCACAATTAACACCTTAGTTACAAGCAGTGAGGAAATAGGAGATGCACTGCAATTGGAAAATCTGCAGTTAGGGACCTTTCCAAATTATTGGGTAGTAATGTCAGTTTGAGGACTAAGGTGTGTCTGATTTAGGCCATGGTCTTTCCAATTATTAGCTATGCATCCAAGACCTGGACAATGAATAAGGATGACAGAAAAAGAATTGATGCCTTTGAACTGTGGTGTTGGAGAAGAGCACTGAACATCCCATGGACAGCCAAGAGAATGAATAGATATGTCTTGGAGAGGGTACAGCTGGAGTGCTCTTTGGAGGCAAGAATGATGAGGCTTCACCTCAAATAATTTGGACATATTCTAGGAGGGGCTATTCCTTGGAGAGGGACATGATGTTGGGAAGGGTGGAGGGTCAGCGAAGGAGAGGAAGACCCTCAACCAGGTGGACTTACACAGTGACTTCTGCAATGAGCTCTTGTGTGTCAGGAAGTGTGAGGATGGCCCAAGACAGGACTACATTCAGATCTTTTGTTCATAGGATCGCTGAGTCATAATCGACAAGATGGCACCTAACAACAACATCTTCATCATAAATTGGGTCTTCTTGCAATTCATTGGATGTCAAAGACTAAAGGAGATGGGGATTTAAATGCTAACAGATTTTAGAGTCCTAGTTATCCACTCTGCTATGCAGAATATCACAATGTGATAGTCTCAGCACCACTTAGTCTACAGCAACCCTATGAACAACAGATAAGAATCTTGCCCTATCTTGAACCATTCTAACAATCTGCCATGATCAAGCCTACTGGTACAATCATTCAATCAATCCATTTTGTTGAGGTTCACCCTCTTTTTTGCTAACCTCTTATTTCCTAGCATGACGTCTTTTTCCAAAGACTGGCCCTTCCTGATAATATGCTTAAAGTATGTAAAACAAAGTTTTCACCATTCTTTCTTCTACAGAGTACCCGGTTGCACTTCCTCCAAGACAGAACTGTTTGTTCTTTTGGCTATCCTGGGGATATTCAACACTATTTTCCATCACAATTAAAATCCATGAACTCTTCTTCACTCACTATCCAACTCTCAGATGCATAGGAAGCAACTGAAAATAGCATTTTGGATCAGGCACACTTGTGTGTATAAACTGACCTCCTTGCTTTTTAGCACTTTGTAGAGGTCCTAAACAGATTTTTTTTTCCAATGAAACAATTTATAGTTCTTGACTGTTTTCATAGGAGATGATTGGTGACATTAATCAAATTAAATCCTTGACAACTTCAATCATTTCTCCAAGTATCACAACGCACTTTACTGGTCCTGTTCTGTCTTCAATCTTCTGCAGTAAGTGTTTCAAGTCTTCACTTTCTGCAGTCAAGTTTGTGTCACCTGCACAACTCAGGTTAAGTCTTCTTCCAACTCTGATGTTATATTTTTCTTCATACAATCCAGCTTTTCAAATTATTTGTTTAGCACAGAGACTGAATACAGATGGAGAAAAGATATGATCCCGATGCACATCTTTCCCGATCTTAAAGCATGCATTGTTCCCTTGTTCTGTTCAGACAACTGCTTCTTGGTCTATGTACAGGCTCACATGTGCACAATTAAGTGTTCTGGGATTCCCACTCTTCTCAATTTTAGTCATAACTTGTTATGATCCACACAGCCATATATGTTTTTGCTGAGCTAACAAAACACAAGTAAACATCCTTCTGGTATTCTGTCTTCAGACAAGATTCATCTGACATCAGCGATGATATCCCTGGTGCCACAGCCTCTTCTGAACCCAGCTTGAATTTCTAGCAGTTCTCTGTATTTTTGTAATAATCTTCAGTTAAGATTTTACTTGCATGTGATTATTAATGATATTGTTCAATAATTTTCACTCTTTGAAGGGTCACCTTTTCTTAGAATGGAAATAAAAAGGGATCTCTTCCAGTAATTGGCAAGGTAGCTGCTTCCAAATTTCTTGGCATAGATTACTGAGCATGTCCAGAGCTCTATTTATTTACTGAAACACCTCAAGTGATATTCCATCAACTCCTGGGGTCTTACATTTTTACCAGTGTAGCTTAAACTTCTTTCATCATCCATGAAGAAAAAAGATCATTACAAAGAAAGAAAAGACTAAATAAAATAGATGTCAGAAGAAACTATGAACCTGCACTGGAATCTAGAGAGGTCAAACACAGGGAAGAAATGACAAGCAAAAGAGATGAACAGAAGATTTCAAAAGACAGCTCAACAAGACAAGGTAAAATATTATAATGAAAGGTACAAAGAGCTAGAGTTAGCCAAAAGAGAAGAACAGTTTGGCACTGAAGAAGTCTATAGGCAAAATCTTGAATAATGCAGGAAGCATCAAAAGATGAAATACAGAGGCACTGTACCAGAAATAATTGGTCAACACTTTTCAGGAAGTAGTATACTACCTTCAAAGGGAACAATGTAACAGAAGTATTGTGAATGGCACTCAATTCAACCAAAAGGAAAACTAAATTCACTCAAAAGACACTCATTAATAGTAAAAACAATGTTTTACATGAAAAAGGTATAGTGGCCATCACTGGCATCCAGTCTCATCCAGTGATCTTCAAGGACAGAAAAGAACTGACCAATAGGATATCCAGGGGGGTTGTTGTGGCATAGTCAGTAGGGAGCTGCACTGCTAACTCAAATGTGGCATCTCTCTGGAAGTTCAAAGCCATCAGAGGTTCCACAAGAGAAAGATGGTTCATTTCCTCCAATGTGATTTAAAACCCTCAAAAATCTGATAAAGGGTTACTTATGAGTTGGTACCAACTCCAGGGCAGAGTCTGAGATGGAGCATCCAAGATTGTAAATGTAAGGATGAAGACTGCCACATCTTTTCTACTCGTGAAGCTGCTGATAGCTTCGAGCCACAAAATTTTTTTTTCTTGTGTGTACTGTCGAATCAGATCCAACTGGCACAGGAGGAGATTGTCCCTCCTTCTCCAGCAGAATATCTGATGGATTTGAACAGTGTGTCTTTGGTACTGCAGGCAACTTCTTGCCACTAGGCCTCCAGAGCTCCCAAAGCTACAAACTTTTGATGAGCAGCCAAATCCTCAAATAATTTGTCACTCAAAGCTCAAACTCATCACCATTGAGGAGTGACCCTCCAACAGAGGAGACTGTCAACATCATTCCCTTGCAAATGCACCACCAGGGCTCCTTAAATTCGGCCGCACTAGAGCATAATTTGTCCAAGTTTTTCCCACAAAAATGTTTCACAATCTACTCCTGTCAACTCTTTTCAAAGACAACAAAATTAACTCAAAGTTGGTAATGGAATTCTATAAGAAAGAGTGCTACAGCTTTCCAGAAAGAGGGATGCTAGTCTTTAAAAATAAAGATTAGGAGCTTGGGTAGCTAGGAGACAAGGTTCAGATTCAACTTCTGTGTTTTAACAAAATGGCACATTTTTAATTTATAATCCTGTCAACCCTACAAGAGTCATCTGCCAGACCCTCACAGATTTGCTAAGAACAGCATAGTGAAATAATTCTCACGTGGCACTTCTCAATAGGACGTTGGAAATGAATAAACCTAAAACACAATCTAGAGCTCAGAAAAGCCAACAAGGTGACCAGGTGCCTCAGATTCTAATAAACTCCTTCAACGTACATCTAGCAACTCTCTAACCCTCACAAGCAAACCTGGAATGATACCATTTCCTTTACAGTTAATGAGTCCTGCAATTCTAGGCCCTCACTTCAAAGGATGCATTCCTAGACTTGAACCCCGAGTAGCACATCACCAAACTCTCAAATTAAAGGGAAAAACACTCAGCTGCAATGCCAAAAGAAACCAAAGGCGCAAATACAAAGCAACACCCGTCTCCTCCCACATTGGCCCAACGGCGCAGAACCCACCAGGCCACTCCTCCACCTCCAGGTTCTACGGCTCAGGGGATTCGGCCCGCAGCTCGCGCGCTCTGGTCCGGCCGAGCCTACTCGCGTCTGTCCGGCCCTGACAGTGCTAAATACAAGGGCGCCCCTCTCGAGCTATATGCCTCAAAACTGGATCGATTCCTGCAAAAGCACCAAATGAGAAACAAAAGCCTGCTGTTTCTCCAGTAGTCTCCGGGGAAAAGAGAAAGATGAGGCCTGGCTTCGACTCCTCGGACCCCCAGCACTGAATCGAAACCATGCGCCCCCCAACACTCCACGGTGGGACACCCCGCGGCCAGGCGGGTAATTCTGCCGCTCCGCCGAGCCCCGCCCAGTGCCCATGACCGATCCGGGGCGTTCCTCCCCGGGACCGCGCCTCCCTCATCACACCGTCGCTCTCCTTCCCGAGCGAGGCCGCAGCTGCTCCGCGACGCCAAAGCCACGGCACCTCGGTCGCACCGCTACTTCCAGGTCGCGCGGGCCCGCGATGTTAACAGTGACCCAGCCTGCTCGCTCTTCCCCCTCTGATTCTGACAAGCCCTGCCTCCTGCCCTAGGCTCTTACCGAGGCAGCGTACCCTCTGGGCCCGCTCCTCTTCTTCTTCAGCCGCCGCCGCTGCCGATCCAGCGCCGCGGAGACCGGAACTTCCTCCGCGCCGGGCCGCTACCTCCACAAAGGGCGCTGCGCGGCTGCCTTCCGCGCTCGGCCCGCCGGGAGATGGAGTCCAGTGCTCGGCCTGATCGTATCTAATCCCGCCGTGCCCCGCGCGGCGAGGTGAGGAAAGACGGGGAAAAGGTTGAAAAAAAAATTTTTTTTCCTTTGGGGGCGGAGCGTGCTGGAGCACTGTGCACGTCGCCGTCCAATGGGAGGGCGCTCCCGCCCAGTGCGCGGAGCATGCTGGGCATTGTGGTCGATCCCTGCCCTCAGGCTGCTATTCTTCCAAAGCTTCATTCAATGTTGAGCAAGATTTACAGTCTTTTGGCGGCCTGGCTTGCTCTAAGGTCGTTAGAATACCTCGCCAGGTATGCGGATACGGCTTCTAACCTGACTAATTTGAAGCCTTCTTCTCCGTTAGTGTAAAAGTAAAGAAAGTTCCTCTTGCCCACTGATTTATCAGTGGTGAGGGCAACAAGCTGGGCTTCCTGGGCCTCCAATCCCAGGAGCTAAATAAACCCTCTGGCCTAGATCCTAAGGAGAAATCCAAGAGAAGCACTTAAACTAATTCCTGTCCCTTTTTATTTCTGACAAATTTCCAAGTTTGCGTCCTCAGCTGGAGAATATCAGACGAGAGACATGTTAAAAATCCACTGCTATGGAGTGATTTCCATCTATGAAGACTCTCCTTTAGGTTTCTAAGTATAAAGGAGGAGACGGTCCATTTTTCCCCCCCGGAACCCCGGTGCATAATTGCAACTGCAGATCGTTCCAATACGTTACAACACAAAGGCAATTTTTCCTGTCTGCTGAATCTAAAGATTCAGTAAATCTGGCCGAGAATGACTTCTGTAAGATGAATGAGCAGGAGGGACACTGGAAACTCATTGCTTCAGTTTATAGCTCACTTTCAGCATCTCCTTCCCGCTAATATTCCTTAGATGGACAGCTTCAAGCACCCAAGTGGATTTTCTAGACTTGGAAAGTCTTGCTGGTCCTGATCATCTGATTTCCCTATCAGGCCCTCGAGAAGAGAAACTGATTTTAGGATCAGATCTTAGGGTCAAAGCATCATAAGTCAAAGAAACTGGTTGCAAGAAAAGCCCATAACGTATTCCACCTAACAAAATAAGGAGATTTTAAATGTAGAAAAGTAGATTATTGGATTGAGTGGTCTTTACCTTCCTATTTTTCAGGCATTTTGTAATAAATTTTGCTGCCTTAGTGAAGATAAGGGTGGGAGTGGTTACTGCAGACAACCAATAAATTAAACAGGCTGTCTTTATGAAAATGACATCAAGATTGGAGGAAGAATCATGAAAATCTTGCATTATGCAGATAACCGTAACCTTGCTTGCTGAAAGCAGAGAGGACTTAGGACACTTACTGCAGAAGATCAAATTCTCATCGCTGATCATGAAAAATGGAGAAAAGATTGAAGTTGTCAGCAGTTTGATCTTGCTTGCATTCATAGTCAACACCATCGGTACCATCAGTCAAGAAGTCAAAAGACATGTCGTATTGGAAAAATCTGCTATAAGAACTTCTCCAAGATATTAAAGAGTAATGATAAAGACCAAGGTGCATGTGATTCAAGCCATGGTCTTTTCAATTCCTTGCTAAGCATCTGAAAAGTTGGCCAGTGAGCAAAGATGACACAAGAACTATGCCTTTGAACTTTGCTGTTGGAGAAGAGTACTGAATATCTCATGGGCTGCAGTTAGGAGTAATGATGTCAGTTTGAGGACTAAGGTGCATCTGATTCAAGCCATGGTCTTTCTGAACACTTGCTATACCTCTAAGAGCTGGACGATGAATAAGGATGACAAGAACAATTGATGCCTTTGAGCTATGGTGTTAAAGAAGAGTACTAAACATCCCTTGGACAGCCAAAAAAAAAATTAAACATGTCTTGGTGCTGGAGACGAGTGTTGAATATACCATGGACTGCTAGGAGAACAAACAGGTTTGTCCTAGAGAGGGTGAAGCCAGAGTGTTCCCTGGAGTCAAGGATTCTGAAGTTTCGTCTGACATATTTTGGGCATGTTGCAAGGAGGGACTGGTCCTTGGAGAGGGACATCATGTTTGGCAGAGTGGAGGGGCGGCGAAGGAGAGGAAGACCTTTGATAAGATGGATTGATTCTGTGACTGGAGCGGTGGGAATAAGTGCGTTTGAGATGGCTAGATTGGCACAGGATAGAACAGCATTTAGAGCTCTTGTACATAGGTTCTCTATGAGTCACAAGCGACTCGATGGCACATAACAACAACAACTTGGAGAGGTTGCAGCCAGAGTGCTCTTTGGAAGCAAAGATTATGAGGCTTCCCCTCACAAATTCACATGCTGCTAGGAGGGGCTATTCCTTGGAGAAGACCTGATATTCAGAAAGGTAGAGGGTCAGTGAAGGAGAGGAAGACCCTCAACCATGTGGATTGACACAGTGACTATCACAATGAGCTCTAATGTGTCAGGAAGTATGAGGATGGCACAGGATAGGACAGGGTTCAGATCTGTTGTTCATAGTGTTACTATGGGTCATACTCAACAGCACCTAACACCAACAACATAAGCCTTTCTAATAATAAAAATATATTTTCTATTGTTGAAGTAACATCGTATTGCATTTAGTTCTTTTAAGCTTTCTTAACTGAAAATCCATTATTGCCTCTCCTCCCTGCCTCACAAGAACACACACATATATGTTCTTATACCCACCCATAAACACATAAAATACTGCAACTGGTTTGGGTGCACCGTAGTCCTCAAAATTACATCCTTATTCTTTTTTTTTTAAAAACATTTCTCAAAGTTTATTGCATGCCAGGCTACTCAGCAAAAGGAGTAGCACTGGGGGTTGGCTTAGGGGCGTTTACATGGAGTTTCAGCAAGTGTTTTAGGTGGTTGTGAGATGAGTTTGACATTACAGTAGCTCATTGGTGCATATGGGATTTCTGAGTTCTGATTCTGAGGAATGTCCTGACACGGGATTTTCTGAGTTCTGGTTTCAGAAAATGTCCTGACATAGGATTTTCTGAGTTCTGGTTTTGGAAGATGTCCTAACATAGGGATTTCTGAGTTGAGCTTCAACCTCTATTTTAATTTTTATCCTAACAGTCCCACCTTTGTATGATAGGGGGTGAGGAGGTCTTCTAGCTGCTTCCTGCTGCATGGGGGCATAATGGGGTTTAAGAGAGGCAGGTATGTTATTCTGTCTCATTTGGAGGGAGCAGTGTGTACTTCATCATGCACAATTCACTGATGGATTGGTTGATTAATACACTAAATTGCTTCTGCAAAAAATTAGTAAAAATTTTGCGTAAACATGGCCCACAGGTTAATGCAAGAATGAGCAGTAGTAGTATAAGAGGTATGAAGGGCAGTAGTGATCCAACTATTGAAGGGAGGGTATGGTGGAGAGGAGGGTATATGGGTTAGGGATGACTGGATGTACTAGTTGTATGAAATTATTGATATCTCAGAGATCTTGCACAAGGCAGTATGAGCCATCTGGTTTCTCTACTGGAAGAATAGTAGTATTGTAAGGAGAATGAGTGGGAATTAAAATACTGGTTTTAAAGAACTTAGTTAGAAAGGCTTTCAATCCTTGAGATGTCCTATACTGATGGAGTACTAGGGAATGCATGGAAAGGAGGTTTGGTCTTTTACTTTAATATTAATAGGAGTGTGATATGTAGCTTAATGGGTTAGAGGTATCCCAAACTATAGGAACTACTTGATGGGATGGCAGAAGGAAAATGGAGGAGTTGAGCATAGAAGAAAAGTTGTATTGGACTAGGGCTCAGGGTGAAGGTGAGGTTTATAGAAGCTTTAAGTTTGCTTGAAATATCTCAGCCTACTAGAGGAGTGGGGCAGTGCAGTATGATGAGAAATTGATGCGTAAACTATTTTTAAAAGAAACATAATAAGGGAAGAATCATACATGGACTGTTAATTTTTTCTTGTTACTCCCTCTATATTGGTTTAGAAGAGAATTGGAAGAATTTGATTGAGAGGAACTCTGGTCAAAAATAGGTCTTATTTTGTATGCTGAGTGAAATAGGACAGCCTTGATTGAAGTCCAGTCTTGAACTGGGGTGAGGAGTGATAATCCAATCTATAGTGGATGGTAGAGTGCACACCTAGCAAGAGGACCACTGTCAGTTCTCTTGGAAAAGCAATGAGGCAGAATTATTGCTGATAGAAAAGACGGGTTTAGAGAGAGTTTTAGTGATTATTACAGAAAAGATGATGAGGAACAGAGGTCTCGTATTTAGAGAAGGAAGAGTAGGCAGAAAGTATAAAAAGATATTTTGGTCAGAGGTAAAGTCATGAAGAGACCCCTGTAGCCAGAGACCAGTGGTAGAGGAGAGCAACTGATCTATAGTGTGAAAGGAGTTCCTAGGATTGAGTTCAGAAGAAAAGAAATCCTTTTTACTGGCAACATCCGTGCATATTTAAGGTTCTTGCAGGCTTACGGTGATGGTGATTCTATCCTGGTCACTTGTACCATCCTTGTGGTTCTGTCAGTCTGATTGCTCTTTTGCTACCAAGACTGTATTGCGGCATTGTTGAGCCAGTTGTCCATGAAGACAGCGTTGAAAGCAAGTGACAAGAAGCTTCTCTTTTGCCCCTTTACTTTTCATTGCAGCATGTTTTAATATTTGTGACTTATGTGACCATGATGAGGCTTTTTAAACTAGAAGTTAAAGCCTTGAAATTGGAGGTTTTGGACACGTATGCTGGATAAAAAGTTTTTAAATACTTTGCAAAACCAGTTTTGTTTTGTTTTTAATGATTTACTGTCATAACCTTTTCTTTTCCTTTTTTGTAAATAATTTTAATGAACATTTACAGAGAATTTGGATTTCCATTCATTCATTGCTGCACTTCTCTACCCGCCCAGCCCTCTTCCCCCGCCCCCCAGTTCGCTCCTCTCTTTCAAAAGTAAAAGAAAGACTCCCTCCCTGGTACACAATCCCCCCGCAC